ATCCCGCACAGACGGCAAGGGGAGCGCGGGGCTCAAAGCGCCGCCGGGAAGGGGCTGCGGGGGCTGAGAAAAAGCAGCCGAGGGGGTGCCCGGGGCAGCGGGGCTTGGAGCGGGAGAAGAAGTAAGAGGATCCGGGGGGGAAAAAGCTGTGCAATTTCAGCTGAGCAAAGCCCTGGCATCCCGGGACAGGAAGGAGGCAATTTAAGCCTGGAAATTTGCGTTCGGCTGCAAAAAGCTTCAGCCGCAGTTTGGAACAAGCGCTGGAAACCCACCCGGGACCCCAACCCCCGCTTCGGATCTGCCCGGGGTGTGGGTCACCCCTGAGAGATGCGAGTTTCTCACCGTTCCCTTTATTTTACAATTATTATTTTTTTAAGTGTATTATCAGGAGCCCTCAGTTTGTCTCTCAGCTCAGGCCGAAATCCCGCGCCGGGCTTTCTGTTACGGACGGCTCGATTTTAAAAGGAAACTCCAGTGCGACATGTGGTAAAGGGCAAGGAAGAAAACAAATCATCCCCTTCAACCTCCTTTTTCTATTTTTTTTTTTTTCCTCCTTACAAACAAGCTCCTTGGAAAGATAGATGTGTTTATTCTGAAACGTTCCTCACAATTAGTCTCCGCTTCGAACGCAAACTCCGGATGCAGCGAGGTCACTGATCGGGGGAGATATCCCCGACGACGTGAAGTAGGAGGGAAAGGGGCAAAAAAGTCAGGGTCAGCTCCCAGATTCCGGGAAGACAGCACTGAAGGAGATATTCCCTTACCTGGCTCAGCTTCCCAGAGCCTGCCCCGAACCCGGGGCGTCGGAAAAGCAAATTGCAGCCGGCTTTGCCCCCGGCTGCGGCCACGGCGAGCCTAAAAAGAACCCGCTTTGGGGGGAATTTTTTTTATTTGTTTATTTTTAAAAATAAAGTGTAGGTTCGCTCCATAAGCCCTTTAAACGCTAAAAAGCTCTGGTTACCTGCGGGGGCTGGGGCAGGGGTACGGGGAGCCCCAGGGAACCGGCGCTGCCGCCCGGCGCGGTCGGGGGCGGCTCGGGAACCTGCAGGGGGGACCCCCGGAGCCCCCCCCGTCCAGCAGGGCGTCCCGGGAACCTGCAGGGGGGAGCCCCGGAGCCCCCCCCGTCCGGCAGGGCGTCCCGGGAACCTGCGGGGGGGAGCCCCGGAGCCCCCCCCGTCCAGCAGGGCGTCCCAGATAGGAGAATCTCAATTGACACCAGCTGCGACCTCGGCTCCCCGTCCGCAGGGGCGGCGAAGTGCCGGTCCTTTCTTATATTACGATAATTACTTTAGAAAGCCTGACTCACATAAAAAGTATCTATAAAGATTTACTCGCGGTTTTCTCGATTTGGAAATACGTTTCTCCATTTTCCATCTACTCTAAACTTGCTGGTTTTAATCTCCAAAACAGTCATTGGGAAAGAGAACTGGGGGAGGAGAAGCGTTTCTATAAAGAGTTTAACCAAAGCACATTAAATATTTTCCCAACATCACCAAATAAACAACAATCCTCCAGCTCCCTATAAACTATTTAAAGCATGTCATATCATCTCTTCAGCTCTTGCCAATGTACTTTCCTTTTAATTTATAAGCCGATTAGAGCAGGGGCCTGTCTTGCGTGTATTTGCAAAATGTCTGGCACCCTTTCAGTCACTCGCAGTTCACAGACACTTAAATCGGCGTTTAACTTCGTTATTATAGGTACTAACTTCGATTTTTCCTCACTTTTGTAGACCTACTGCCTGTGAAAGTGCTTGTTGTAAATGATCTGAGCAGTTGTTGAAGGGTTTCAGCAGAGGAAACCTCTTTGGATGGCAGAGCTGATGCAAAAAAAAAAAAAGAAAAAAAAAAAAAAGAAGAAAAAGCACAAGGGAAATTGAAACTGAGATCTCAGGCTGTATAAATCGGCCCAAAAGAAAATGGGGAAAACCTCCTTGGGAGGAACAGTTTTAGTTCACTAGAAAATAAACTTCTGCTCATAAATGATGAAAGTTATTATCATCAGAGGATGTGCTGTACCAAACAAACCTCCATTAGGCTGGGAAGGATAAAACAGGCTAGACAGCCTTTCTTTAAAAAAAAAAATCATCATGTCTTTGATTCCCAAGATATCAACCGTGTCTGTTTCTGTAAGTGCTGTCAAGTAAACCTGAGTTATGGATGCTCTAAAAGAACCCAGCAAGGAGAAAATTCAGCAAGAGAAAATTGAGACTGCTATCCATAGATACTTTACCAAAATATACTTTCTTTTCAGACTCTTAAATTCCTGCCCCGTACCTTGGCATGACAATTTCTGAGAAGAGCAAGACCCGGGACTGTGGTAAAGCTGTGGTCGTCGGAGCCAGCAATCGCACGGCAGATTCTTGTCGTTGAGGTTTTGCTCTTTCCACGCTGCCGTGTCCATCACTTTCACCACAAGAGCCTTAACGTCTGGAATGTGACCTCCTAAAACTGCCACCGCCTCGGTTCAGTCTGAACCCCAATTGCTGACACCATTTTCTAGCACGTTTGGGTATCACGTCTAACCTGACGGGGCGGGGGGAGGATGACTGCTGGATTTAATACAGCGTCCCCTCTCTGATGGAGGGGACCTGGGAAGTTCCTGCAGCAAGAACACAGGTCTGTCTGGGCTGGGAGGACTGGCTGGGGAGCTCAGCCCCAGCGGGAGGAAAGCAAGCCCACTGGAAGTGTTTCCTCCCTCCAAACAGCCAGGCATCCATCAAACCCCACTGCCCGTCAGGAACAGCACACCTGGCCATGCTGCCTCTGCAGTTTTGCCAGCACGAAAGGAACACAACGTGGTCTCTCCAGATCTGGCCATAGGAAAGTAGAGCACAGTGGTGCCAGGCTTTCCTCTGAGAGTCACTCTGGACTCACTAGCTGCCTAATTAAGAAACCTATAAAACTAAGGGACAAGGACAAAAAGAAAGCACCATCCCATAAAGGTTTTGAGTCGAGGCTCTCCCTGGCTGGGTCCCCATGAGAAGACACATGAGAAACGGGGGGGATGAAGCTGAGTTTTAGGCAGCGGCGGATCAATGGTCTTTTTTGTTGTTTTTGTAATCTGTGAACAGTTAGTTAGAATGTACTCCGCTAGAATAAACTGAATTTATTCTTTTCCTTAATCTGTGTCATTTAATGCGTGGTCTCAAAAATACTCTGCCAAACCCAGGGTACCCCAGTCCTGCAGATCTGTCTGTGGAGAGAACGGGTGGGCTCCCCAGGTGTCCACCTCCCAGCAGGTGTTTTGAGCTTCTTAAAAAAACTGAAATGCACGATTTCCTTCAGGGTGTGAGAATGGCTCTGGAGGCTGGTCAAACCATGTGCTGTCCCAGCAGACGGAAATCTCCTTTGCCAAGTGTCTCTTCAGCAAGCAGAGAGACCTCCAAACAATAACTGAGTGCGAATAACACACTCTTTGACACAAAATACTCTTCAGATGCATGAACTTCCCAGTACTCATCAATGGCTGGGTCTGATTTAGCTTTTGTCTTTCGTATTTTGAGTAGAGCCAAATGTGGCAGCAATTTGTCACAGTCAAAAAGATACAGAGGACAAACACGACAGCGAGACCTGGAGCTCTGCAGCGCTCCAAAGACCACAACAGCCTCAGAAACATTTTTTCTCAAACCAAGCCCAACCCTGATGAGCAGAGAATCGTGTAGAATTATCCTCGTTTCACACCATCCTGGAAAAAAAACAGAAAGAGAAGTGAATAGGCCAATTTTACAAGCCTGAGAATGAATGCGAGCAAGCCTTTGTCCCACCATCTGCGAAGAGATGATAGAGGTGAAGGAAGAGGGAATTCACGGGGGATGGTAAAAGTTCACAGAGACCTTCTATTTTTCTGGAGAGATGCTTCACATTCCAGCAGCAAAACTGAAGGAAGCGGACATGAGGAGTAGATCAGAGAGGGGAAATAGGAAGATGGATGAAGTGCAAGGCTGGAGGAGCAAACGAGTCAATTATGAATAAGAGGAAGGGGCTGTGCGCAGAGACCAACGAGGAGATGGAGCTCAGGGGAAGAAACAGCAGCCAAAACACTCGCAAGTCAGAGACGCTGCTGGGATGAGGGAGGCAGAATAAAATCGTAATCTTTCAGGTAAAGACAGAATTGTAAACCCCTGCCCTCTGTATCTATTTGATTATGGCACCTCTGTCACCAGCTCTATCAGGACAACTGTGCGTGGCCCTGCTACAGACAGACAGGGGAAATCAGCTCTGTCAAAGCTGGAAGCTGTTGGTTTGCACAGAGAAACCAGCAGCAAACTATGAAACTCATGGCTGGAGAGTGAGGGGAGGAACCACTGAGGACTACAGGTCCTGCCTGAGCCCCGGGCAAGTAGATGAAGGAGAAACGAAGTGAAATGCCAATGGTGTAGAAGCGGTGGATGCTCAGAATGAACCCAGAGGAGAAACCAGAAGTGAGCACCACCAAAGGAGGGTGAAAGGCCAGCAGAACCTCCCTGAGCTGTGATAATGGAGGAAGGAAGAGACGGGGTGGTGCTGGATAGACCTCAGAGCAACACTCTGCTTCCACCATCCAGCAAAAGCTCCCAAATAACTCCAGAAAAAGCAAACGTCTTTCTGCACAAAGTCCAGTAACAGCAGTTAAGTTCCTGATCTGTTCCTCTTTGAGGTGGTGGTAGAGCAACGAAGGTCTGCAAGCATTGCCTATAAGGTTAAAAGTAGAGAATCTGGGAATCTCTTTGGGATTCTCTGATCACGTGAAGACACTGTCTGCCCGCGGCTTCACACCGATCTGACATAACCCCCATCCCTCCTCCCGACAGTGAGCAACCAAAGAGCTCCTTCCACCGTCTTGGGAGCAACAGGGCCAGAGAAAAGGCTTCTTGATGATAAAGAGCTGTGAGAGAAGCATTTCCACAGCCCTGAGGGCAACCCAGCCTCACCTTAGCACTGCTTTGGGGCTAGGGAAGGGAGGGGGAGGGCGCGGGGTCCCCAGCCCAGGCACAACAGCTCATCCCCCAGAAACAACCGTGGGGAAAGAGCGTGTCTTCACAGCGCAAACATCCCCTTTGTCTCCCCTACCAGGATCTGGGTGTTGCCTCGTTTCTTCTCCCTCCGCAGATTCCCTTCTGTTAGCTCTTTAGTAACAGCAACATGGAGAAAGCTAAAAATAAAAAGCTGTATAAGCAACGTAACAGGCATGCAATTGCATGTCTATTTTCTTTGAAAAAAATGATGCTTTATTTCCTGTACAATGGAAACTACAGTTTGATGTTACAGCTATTGGGTTTTGACTGAATGCAGAAATTTGACTTAAACAATGACAATTCCCCCTGTATTTACTATTACCATATGTCACTGATTATATATTTAAGTTGCAGAAATGAATTAAATTTCATGGCTTCCTCAAGTTAGATTCTCTTGGAGTAGACTGTCTCTTGTTATTAACCCAAATCCTCGGAAAACGGTTTAAATCAAAACAGCAGACTTTTGGTATCATTTCAGGAGAAAATTGATTATCACAAACCAAGCGCTTAACACGTCATCATCCAGAAGGCTGGGGGAGCTTCGGAAACCTGCAGCAACCACAGCCAGGATAGAGAAAAGGGGTTAATTGAACACCACAGACTCGGAGATGGGGGGAAAAAACCCAACCAAACAAAAAAGACCCAGTTTGGAGCACTGTTTGGAGCTCCCTTGCCTGGGGTCTTATTCCTTCTGCCTCAGAAGTTATCATATGTCCCACAGCTCAGTGCTTGCTTCACTTACTTGGGGAAAGTATCTTCTCTCAGCTGGCTACAGAGTATTAGTGACAATCATGTTGCACACATGTTCCAGGAGAAGCCAGCCTTATGCTTGCTAGATTTCTTCCTGCTTTCTGGAATAAAAAAAAAAAAAAAAAGAAAAAAAAAAAAAAAAAAAAATTTAAAAATCCAGATTTTCTTTACTCCTTCTGTTTCCCATCACGATTTGGATTGCTAACATTTCTATCCCCACTATCCCCCTGGCGGCTCCTGGCCCTTTTCTAGAGGACCAGCAGACAGCAGACCCCCTTGGCTCCCATCAACCAGGGAGGAAGCAAACTGCAACCTCTGGGAATCTGGCCTCAGACCTTAAAGTTGAGGTGATGCGAAGGGACTTTACAATAAACCCCCCATGTCCATGCTTCCCACCTCCCCCAGGTCCTGCCCAGACCTGCAGAGTCAGAGGTTTCACCACATCAGAGGTGTCACCAGAGGCAGGGGTCATGGCCATGGCAGGCTGTGACACAGAGGGAGCTCAGTGGTGGCAGACACGGCGTAAAGCAGAACCTGAGCAGTCCTGGTGAGCGGGAAGCAGGTTATTATTCCTAACTGAAGGGCAACGTCATGAGGGGAGAAGAGGTAAAAGAAGGAGACTTCAGTGTCAGAAGAAAACAAGGGCAGCTGTGCCGTGACTGCTTGAAGGACTCACCAGGCAGGATACAGACGGGACAGGCTTCAGTGAGAGCCTCGTGAATTCACATCATACTTTGCCAGAGACTCAATCAATTGAGTATGTGCTAAAGCTCAGTTTGTTTTGTCTTATTTGGAGCCTTGGAAGATATTTCCTATCTTGAATCATTGAACACGCTCCAGCCACACACCTGCAACTTCTGGAGTGCATCCTCTCAGCGAGAGGCTGGCTAGCACGTCGTCACTTCTGCAGGGCAAATCCTCCTGAAAGCACATCAGACCACAGCTTTCGCACCAGTTTACTTTTACATGTAGCACATGGAAGCTAACGTCTGGCGAGAGCACAACAATGTCCTGACCGAGATGGAGCTCCTCACAACAGATGGTGGTTGATACTGCTGGACCAGGGCAGCTCCACCCCATTATTTCTCCCCTGCGTTTTTCCCCCCTCTGGCCACATTTTTTTGAGATAGCTCCAGGCCATTCTCACTCTGGTGTTTGCGGTCCCCTCAAGCCCACAGGTCACACTCAACCTGCAGGTCACTGCCTAGTCCTCACACCCAGGTTATTTTGCTCCCGTTGAGGTATCCCATTGCACGAAGGCTTCTCATCGCTAGATCCTGACAGTCCTGTTGAATTGCACATTAATATCACGTGAGGTTCACAATACTCTGAACCAGCTGCCACAGGGAGTGCCTCCAGCAGAGCAGGAAACCTTCTCTCCGAGCACTCCGTAGCTTTGCCAGCCAGCACGCAGGCAGTGTGGTAGTCAGCAATCTGACAAGCAACATCTGATGCCCATTTTGGGCCAAAGGATGGAAAAGGCAGCACAGAGCAGCCTTCGGTTCCACCTCTTCAAGCCCGAGAGCTTCATCCTGAAGGGAAAAGCATCCAGAAGAGAAAACCCAGCATCAAAATGAACGACTCTGAAAAGACAAGGCACGACCAACGTCTTTGCAGCTTTACGCGGCTGCTGTCTGAGATATTTTTTGCCAGAGGTTTCTTTTGCCAGTGGAAGCACAGACAGACATTGCCACCTTGTGGTTCCTCCTCCTGCAGTGCCATGTCGGGTTTTTTTTTTTAATTGTACTAGCCTAGACCAGGGGTTTCCAAACCGCTGACCAGGGATTTCTGGTGACAAGGCTAGCATGGACAAGAATACTTTCCAAGTACTTACTTAACTGAAAAAGCAAGTCTGTAATTCACAGCCATCAGCTCTTAATACTGAGAAACTCATCACTACAAAACCCTTCAGGAATTTAATCTGCAAGTTAATAAAGATGAGTAACTACTGGCGAGGGTACGCAGCCTCCAAACAGCAATCCAAAACGCTATGGCAGTGAGGCACAAAACCAGATTGGCTTTACACTGTTCTCAGCATCAAGAAATCTGTGAGAAATCCAACGCTGATGACAGCCTGCAGTTTCAAAACCTTGGGATGGTCTCAGACAGTAGTTCCCTCAGGGTTCTAACAAGGAGGGAGCAGCCATGTGCTCATTCCCCAACAGCAGACAGAAAGGCAGGAGCGGGCTGGGCTTGTCCCCAGTCACTCCAGGTTCTGCTCAGGACAGTTTGTGGCATAAGCTGGGGTAAGGCTCATCACCAGGTGGCTCCTCCATAACTCATGCCCGGGTACAGGCACCAGACAGTATTTCCCCTCTGGACCTTGGGCGGAGTTAGAAAGGGGAAGATCAGCAAAGAGTCTGTGGAGCAGCACGCGGCCTCTGTGAAATCCCAGGGAATTAATCAAACTTGGAAAAAATTTAACAGCCTCTCCCAGAGAGGTGGAAGAGTCTCTCCTAACACACAGCAAGGAGCACAGATGTCCCTGGCAGCTTCTCATGCCTATCTCCCTGCTGACACACTGACACAGAAAGTGGCCCATTTTCATGGTTGCGATAATGAGTGAATAATCGGAATTTCTGGAGCATTTCCCTTTCCTCCATGATATTTTCTGACTAGCTTCCTGCTTTGCCACTGGCCAGCCCATTACAGTTGTAAACAACATAATGAGTGAATAATCGGAATTTCTGGAGCATTTCCCTTTCCTCCATGATATTTTCTGACTAGCTTCCTGCTTTGCCACTGGCCAGCCCGTTATAATTGTAAACAAATGACTCTTTTCCAGTTCCCCAGCCTCATTTCAAGGTTGTCGTGGGTGCTGGTCCTGGGAAGACCCAAAAGTTTCAACAGTCCTTAAGCACCTTCTTCAGCACATGCTTCTTGGGGCTTTTTAGTCTGGAGAGGAGAAGGCTGAGGGGGGATCTGATCAATGCTTATAGATACTTCAAGGGAGGGTGTCAGGAGGATGGGGCTGGTCTTTTTTCAGTGGTGCCCAGGGACAGGACAAGAGGAAATGGGTACAAACTTGAACATAAGAAGTTCCATCTCAACATGAGGAGGAACTTGTTTGCTGTGAGGGTGGCAGAGCCCTGGCAGAGGCTGCCCAGAGAGGTGGTGGAGTCTCCTTCTCTGGAGACATTCAACCCCCCCTGGACACGTTCCTGTGGGACCTGCTCTGGGTGGCCCTGCTCTGGCAGGGGGTTGGACTGGATGGTGTCCAGAGGTCCCTTCCAGCCCCATATCACTTTGTGATTCTGAAGCTGATAAGCCCCGTTGGTGTCACGTTCCCCATCAGACCTAGACATGAGAATAGATGTTAGTTACAGCGTGGTACATTTGTTTCCCCAGCAAGACTGCAAACCTAAGGACTATCTGCCCCGCCAAATAAAAGGAAAAAAAAATAAAAAATCACTTCCACAGGAAGAAGGGTGATGAATTTGAGCTGGAGAGCTGAAGTGCTGGTGCCTCGGCTGTTCACAGAGGGATGCTGGCTGCAAATCCCAGCTCTAGAGACTGCTAGCAGGAGCCTTTCAACAAACCCCGACCGCAGCCCCCCCC